GCTTCTGGCCGCTGCAGCCCACGTCCACGTAGAAGCCCAAGCTTTCCACTTCGTCGGCAGCTTCCGCCGCGGCAAGGCTGGCCATCTCACTCGCACAGCAGCTGCAAGTCTAGGAACCGGCAGCTCGAGAAGAGATGCTATACACGACACGCTCCTCTGCACGCATCGGTCTATAGCGCCCTGCGCTCAGGCAAGCACACGGTCTACAATGCCATATAAACCTATGCAATGAGTCTGAAGCGCAGGAGGTCAGGGAACACTGCGCCTTTTCGACCTCGCGCTGTGCAACCTCCAGCGCGCGCTCTTGCAGTGAGGCATATGAACATGCGACGACGCTGAGAATTCTGCAGCAGAGGGAGCTTCTATGAAAACTCCATGCGCTAAAACTGTGCACAGGTATCAGACCTGGTAGTGTCGCAAAAGCCAGCAGCTACGAGTGCAGCCCGGCCGCTTCCTGCATTTGCTGCAGCCTTTCTTGTACTTCTGCAGGAGACTCGACGGGACGCCGCACGCCTTGCGATACGCGCGCTCCGCCGCCGAACCTGGCTTGAAGTGCTGCCGCTCTTCCATGGTCTTCTTCTTGGACTTGCCCTTGTTCTTTGCCTCTGCACGAGGGTCGGGCTTCGAGGTCGGGTTCTTTCCAGACTTCTTGCCCGTCGCTGCTCTCCTTCTTCGTCTTGTTGTTTTTCTTCTTCTTCGGGCTTTGGCCTTTAGTGGGTGGCGAGCGCATGCGCCGCCAGCTTTGGCAGTTTCGAGCCCATGGCTACCTGTAGCTCCAGCGCCGCATTCAAGACCGAGCTTCGGCCAGATGCCTCGCCGCCCTTTTGCTGAAGGACTGCTGCAGGTCCGCCAGGCACACTCGCAGAAGAACCCGGCTGAGGTGCAGCATCAGGCGCCAAACTACCAGTAGCTGGCGCGGCTCCAGAGAGCACGGGCGCAGTCTCTGGCCCACGAGCAACCTCGAGCATGGCAGGCTGGCAGGGCCTGTCCGAGACTTGCAGAGGCGTGGCCGGCAGCGCCAGCGACTGTTTCTCAGAGGAGCACACCTGAAGCAGCCCTGCAGATGGTGAAGAAGTAGCTTTGCTGTCTTCAGCAACACTGAGCGGAGGAACTCCAGATGCGGCAGGAGTCGCAGCCGGCTGCCCAGTCATCGCCTCTGCTCGAGACGCCTCACAGCAGCATGGCTTCAGGAGTTCAAGGTATAGCGGGACCTACAGGGGGCTCTCGAGGGCTTATACATTTAGGATCTCCGGCACCTGAAGCTGCGCATGCTGGCTGGGCTGCAGCGGAGGCGGGGGCAGCAGGGCTGCCGGCGGTTGCCTGCGGCGCTCCTTCAAGAACAGTGGGCTTTCGTCTGAGTCGCAGTCCATTGTCGAGGGGCAGCGAGGCAGTGCAAACTTCATCTCGCTACTGCTGCGGACACAAGGGCCAACCGGAGTCTTGCCCGTACGCATCTTCAGGGTTTGTAGCTGCAGCCGCACCCACTTGTTGCTCATGCGAGCCGGCACGCCGACTGCGTTGAGCCTGAACTCCTCGTCGTCAAAGGGAGCCGCCGCGGGAGCTTCTTGCGCGAAGACACGGTCACGCCAAGCATGGTCAAGGTCGCCCACGTTGCTTGGGAGAGCCACCACGTACGGCAGGTCGGGGAGCTTTGGACACAAACGCGCGTGCTTTTGCAGAGCGTTCTTGACTGAGAGGTACTGCTTGTGCACGGCCAACGCGTCGTTCATGGGCACGTGGTCCGAGCCGTACAGCAAGAAGTACCAGGTCACCACTTGGGCTGTGAACTCGGACGGACAGCGGAGCCCCAAGCTGGCCAAGTAGCTGGACAGCACGTCCAGCTTTTTGAAGTCGCGCAGGCCGGGGTCCTGTAGCTGCTGCCAGACACTTCTCGTCAAGTACCGGAAGGCGTAGGAGAAGTCCTGCTGGTCTCGACGCTTCCGCTTAGTGGAAGGCTTGCTCGGTTTCCCTTCTGCAGTGGCTGTGGGCAGCGCCTGCGCAAGCTGACGCCTTTGCTGCTCTGACAAGCACAGTTTTGCGGCTGCCGAGTCTAGCAGGACCAAAACCTCGGAAGCAGAGGAGCAGTCAAACTCAGTCTCTGTGAGGCTAGCCTGAAGGAGGTCGAACTGCCTCTCACATTCCGCCAGAGCATTCTCCGGCGAGGCCGCCCTGCTGAAGGCTTCCAGGTAACCCAGCACCGCCTGGAGGTGAGCGGCCGCCATGCCGCGAGCGTCAGACTAACTAAGTCCCCCAGGCTTGGAAGCCAACGTGCGTCCCATAAGTGAACCACGGGCTCGAGACGCACGATGTGAGTATGACAGAAGCGCAAGCGCTCAGACATATAACAGAAGCGCGAGCGCTCACACGAGTCACAGAAGCGCAAGCGCTCACACATAGAAGAGCATGATGGAGAGGAGAAAGAACAGTGCATAGGTCGTGAAACACTATATGAGAAAACAACCTGCAAGACAACCGGGAGCCTTGGTGCTTCGCGACTGGCCAAAAAATATGTCTTCTGTACTTACACATATAAATACCTGGAACCTTTGCTCGCTTCTTTTCCTCACACACCACGCACCATGTCGTGCAGCGCATGGTCAGCTGCTGTTGCAAAGCGAACAACCGCGCGAAGAGCTGCCCGTGTCTCGTGCAGGAAATGGCGCAACTGTTCCACCTCCTCTGCCCTCACCACGATGTCGCCTCTGCCAGCATCTCCAGCACCAGCGTCTGGAGGCACTGCAGGAGGTGGCGGAGGTGGCAAGAGCTGAGCGTGACCTGCAGCCGCAGCGCCGCCAGCTAGTGTTGCCCCGGAGCTTGGCAGCGGAGTCGACGCTGTAGGTTCCAAGGCCCCAGTCTTTGCCGCAACAGCTGGCGCAGAGGTAGTCTGCCCAGGCGCTGCCGGCGAGGCCACAGGAGAAGGCGCCCCCGTTTTTTGCTGCTTGAACTGGGGCGCGGCTTGGCCAAGGTCGCTGCCAGGCCGCTTCTGCGACTCGTTGGCGGCAGCGGACACACCAGCAGGCGAAGAAGCGGACTCTTCTTCACGACGACGTGCTTGCAGCCACTGTTCCCATTCCTCCTCGCTCCAGCGACTGTCCCACGCTGCCCAATCTCTAGCTGTCCACATTGGCTTCGAACCAAGAGCAGCTGCGCATGTTTCACCGCGCACTGAAACGCAACCGGCTCGACAGTACACGCACAACTCCAGCAGCGCCGTGCGCTCTTGTGTTGCATTGTTTACATGTTTCCTCCTACACATGCAGTGCAGCAGCGCCCTGCGCTCAACGGGACACCAACAAAAACATTGCCTGAAGGCTTCAACAGCAAAACAGGCCACATGCAGGCATATACTCTCAGTCTCCTTGAACCTGAAGCCCAAAACCCAGACCGTAACAGTAGCCCCCTTAGGATTCGCCTGACTCCGTTAAAGCAGTCATGCTAGCCGAAGCACTATGCGCGTGTGCGGACAGATTCTTTTCCCTCGCGTCGGATCATAGTACCACTTGCAGTACCATGACTTCCTCTTCCCACCGCGCTCGCCACGCTCACGCTTGCCAGCGTCAGGAGGTAGGGAAGAAGGCGGAGTGGACTGAGCGCCAGCGTCTGCTGTGGCGCCGGCGCCTTGCGAGCAGGAGCTTGGCATCGCCGGTGAAGCTGTAGCTTCCAAGGCCCCGGTCGTAGCTGGCACGGCGGTCGTGCGCAGCGGCGCAGTTGTGCATGCTGCTTGCTGCATCGCTGGAGAAGAGCCCCCCACTTTCTGCTGCTTCGACTTGGCAGCCGCCTGGAGGCCAATGTCGCTGTTCCACGTCCGCTTCTCTGACTCCAGGCGCTCCATTTCTTCCGCCAATTTTTCCTCGAAGGTGGCCGACCCATAAAGAAGAAGAAAACGAGCCAAAGCCATCTCGAATGCGAGGCACACGTGTGTAGGCTTAAAGGGCTTCATGAAGGAGTTTCACATGTGACCGTCGCTCTTGCTTGGCATGTTGAAACAATGCTGCCATGTAACTTGCTGCTGTTAGGCTAAGCTCTGCCAACAACACGCTTGACGGCGCGCTTGCAGGATATAAGAATTCGGTACTGGCAGAAGCGCGTAGCGCTCAACCGTGTTGACACATTAACAATTTGGATATTTTCTGTTTGACGGCAGAAGCGCACTGCGCTCGATACAGCAGCGCGAAGCGCTCGGCAGGGTGCAGGGTTTAGGGCTGCACATAATGGTTTATAGGGGTTTCAGGTTTAAGGGCTTGGGGCTGAGGAATAGAGTCTCGGGTAGCGCACCACGCAAGAGTTGGGCCAGGTGTTCCTAGACTTCACCTGCAGCTACGAAAATCCGCCGGCAAGCTGCCATCGCTTTTAAGAGACGAAAGCAAACCGTCACGTGCGGATAACATTTGCGACGCATATACAAGTACATGTTTGTCGCACATAGAACTCTACGTAACGGAATTTGCAATTTGCACTTCACAATCTCATGGCAGCGCAAAGCGCTCAGTGTGTGATGTATACGACTTCTGTCACGTGAGCCTTACAACCCAGAGTCTCAAGAATAAAGTCTGCAGCAAAGACCAGATGTATGTTCGTGACCGTGTTAACATTGAACCCTACGACATAATGAGGCAAGATCGGAAAACCCGAGAAAACACGCATCGTGCTTGCACAAACTAATTTAAGACATCCGCCAGCTTCCAAAGCAGTCCGAGATGTATGAAAACGGACAAAATCTATAAAGACATACAAAAGCATGGATGAAAAAATGACATGGGGCAGACATGCCTTTGCACGAAATTTGAGCTCCCGAAATCGATCAAAAAGTTAAGTTCAAGTTAAGTAAAAGTTAAGTTTTTTTAAGTTGTTGCATGAACACAGCATGTTGAACTTAGCCAAAAGCTAACTATACTTAGGGTTGCCTAGCTTAAGGCTAAGACGCTTAACTAACCACACAAAAACTTAGAAGTTACACCCATGTTAAACCCATGTTAAACCCATGTTGCTAAGTTGCTAAGTTATCTTAGTGGTCGCGCGAGCCCTAGCGTAGCCGATTTCTCTATTCGCGCAGCGTGGGCAGGTGCCCAGTGCCGGAGACGCTTCAGGGCTCTCTCGTGCACAGTGCCGTTGCTGCAGGTGCGGAATGCTTTGAGAGCTTTGGTCAGACGACCTCGCCCGGCTGGCGTACCGGCCGCAGTCTGCATCGTCGCCTTGCTGCAAAACGCGCACGCGCTGGCCAGGCGTGGCCTCCGCGCTGCCGAGCCCGGGCGCTGCGGGTTGAAGATGCATGACTGCGTGGAGCAGAGCTCGGCCGCGTAGCGTTTCCGCGCCATTGTCTGCTTGGGCTTCTTCTGAGGGGCTGCATCCTCGCAGCCCTGTTCGGCCGATCGCCTCTTCGATTGCCGCGCAGCCCATGCAGTTGGGGTGAATGGAGCCGCCTCGAGGCCCGGGTCGCGGTCGAAAGCCTCCCACCTCTCGCGAGTAATCCATCGCACGGAGCCTTTCGCCACCCAGCTGGGAATGCTGATCGGGGCAGGCAGGACCTCGACTTCCTCCAGTGGCCACGCCCACGGCGCTGGGTACGAAATTTCTCGGAGCGCTTCGTGGTTCTCGTGCCTGTCTGTTTCTGTCAAGCGGCGGCTCCGTCCAATTCGAGCCCTTGCTAGGATTCTTCGTGTCTTGACCTCTGCAAGCGTCACCCAACCTTCGTGCGGACAGGCCTCTCCGCGTATCTCTATCGTTTTCTCGCCGGACAGGATGCGTCCAAGCCACTTGGGTCTAATTTTCAGAATCCTGCTCGTGCGTCCAAATGCCATCGCAGCCGTGGCCCACGTGCTCGTCTGCAGCTGCTTGCCTCGCTTGTCTGTCGGCGTTGGTGAAGTTTCTTCTAGATGGGAATCACAGCTGGAGGGCGCCGCGCCAGAAGCAGCAGCCACGGCGGTCTGGTGCTTGGCCGGGGACCCGCCCTCCGCATCGGCACACCTGGACGCTTCGCCGTCCCGGGCATCGCCTGCGCCGTCCAGAAGGCCGCTGCCGCTGCGCGCGTCACTGTTGGGAGTTTCCTTTAGCTGGGAATCACAGCAAGCAGCAGCCACTGTGGTCTGGAGCTTGGCCGTGGACCCGCCCTCCGCGTCGGCACACCTGGACGCTTCGCCGTCCTGGGCATTATCTGCGTTGTCGTCAAGTTTGCTGCTGGGATGTTCGGAGACGTACTTGTCGCCCTCGTCTGTGTGACAGGCTGCGTCGTCATCCGTCTCACTGGCGGCGTCATCAGCGAGGGGTGGGGCCCCAGCTCTCTCCGGAGGGCAATGAAGCTTTGCGTTGGAGTCCGAGTCCGAGTCCGACAGCGACATCCTGGCGGCTGGCTGTGCAATCTTCTGGTCGGGCGCCCAGCTTCGCAGCAGCACGTAATGGCCAGAAGAGTAGCCGGCTCCATCAGTACTATACACGAAGCCAAGCTCGCAGTGCACAGGGCCCTCCCCATGAATCACAGGAAAGGCCTTATCTTCGCTTAGTGGAGTCAGAAGGAAGGCCCCGCCTAAGGCTCGCGTGTAAAAGGCGAATTCTTCGTCCCCGGGATAGGCGCCGCGTCGAAGACTTCCCGCCATGTCGTGTGCACCTTCGCTCTCCATCAAAGCCAAGACTTTGTCCAGAAGGCTGCGGGCCTTTGCCTTCCAGATCCCTTCTTCTTCGGCGTCCACGATGAAACCCATGCTGTCTTTCGCGACAGCTTGCCATCTCTCGGGCTCGAGAGAAGCCAGCCAAGCATACAGAAAGCAGTAGCCGTCAGGTGGACTGTTCAGGGGCGGTCCGGACCAGCGGCAGGGCCCGGCGACCTCCATGGTTTCTGCCGCCGCAGGGGGCAGGCGCATATGTGGCAGGAGCGCGCCCGGCGCATCTGCAGCCGCTGCAGCAAGTGCCAAGGCCATGAGAAAAGGTAAGGGTCTGCACACCCCTGCTAGGCTTGAGCTGTCAGTTATCGGTACGGACATGCGAATTTAGGAACAATCAGACTGAAACATGCATGTATATATATATATATATAAGATGGACATATATTTAGCTATACTTAATATTGGGTTATACGCTGTGTGCTCTCTCTCTCTCTCTATGTATCCATCTATCTATCTACTCCCCTCTCTCCCGAATGCTGTGACTGCGCGCAGAGCAGACTTGTTTGCCTCGCGCGCACGGGCCGGTGAAGGAAGTCGTCTCTAGTGCGCATGGAATATAGACATGCGCTGAAATGCACTGAATTCTTAACAAGGTGGGGGGTGAAACTGTAGTGCTCCGGCATGGCGTGATGGATGGGTCAGCTCACGGACGGCCGTTCCCCTCCAGACCAGGCTGTGGCCGTCTCCGCTTCTTCAGGGCTGCGCGCGCACAAATCTGCTCAGCCTGAGCAGGGGCCGCCCGACGTAGGCGCTCCAGGGCCCGATGGTAGGTCCTCTCGTCAGTTGCAAGTCGGAACGCCTTCAATGCGCGGGTCAATTTGCCGCGTCCAGAAGGTGTAGAGGCAAGGTTTGCCAGGGCCGGCTCGTTGCAGAAAGTACAGCGAGGCGACTCCCGCGGACGCCGCGCTGGCAGGCCAGGGTGTCGCGCGCTGAACACGCACGGTTCATCGGTGCCAGAGCACATCTCCGCTTGACCCCGCTTCCTTTGCGGACACTCTGCGTATGTCAGGCACGGCGTCGCCAACGTCGTTCTCAGGCTCCCGAAGGCTGCCTGCGGTCGGATCCGGGGCCACACGGCCTCAGTTCTCAGGGGCGCAACCATGCTCGGGCATTCTGCGTAGAAAATGCGAGGCAGAGCGTGAGTGGTTCTTATGTTAGCCGGAGGCTCGCCCCCTGCCTGCGGGTTCGCTGCGGCGGACGGGAGACGCTGCGATTCGAGCCGTTGCGCGTCGAAGGCCTCCCAACGCTCTCGGGTAATCCATTGCACCGAAGCACGGGCGACCCATCGCGGTATTCTGATAGGGCTCGGCAGCAGCTTGAGTTCCTCGATGGGCCAAGCCCAAGCGTGGCTGTAGGAGAGCTTTGAAAGTGCCTGAGAGTTGGCTCTCCTCTCTTCGTCGGTGAGGCGGTGGCTGGTGCCAAATCGAGCTCGAGCATATATGCGCCTGGTTCTGGCTGCAGCCAGCGTCACCCAGCCCACGTGCGGGCATGGGGACCCACGTATCTCCAGTGTTTTCTGCCCTGCTAGAATGAGGTGTAGCCACTGAGGCCTGATCTTCAGGATTCGTGTGGTATCTCCGAAAGCTACGGAAGCAGTTGCAGGAGCGTCTGCCGAGTCCGCAGACTGCAAGCAGTCATGCGCGCTACTTGTGCTCCCGCGTGTCTTGCCTGCGGTGGGCCTCGAGCGCGATCCGGGTTCCAAGGTTGCGAGTGAATTTTCCTTCCTCCGGGCAGGGGGGCTTTCAGTCTCGCCCTGACTCTCCGGCTCGCAGTCCAGACCGTCGTCGTCAAAGAGGGGGCTGCTATTGTCGTTGAAAGAAAAACACGTGGCAGAAGAGCCGGCATGGCTCGTCTCCGTGTCAGAGTTGTCCAGAGAAATAACGTAGGCTGGGCGAGCCGTGGCAATGGGCATGGCCTGGCTGGCGTAAGCGCTCGGGCCAGGCGCCCAGCTCCGCAAGAGAATGTAATGTCCTGCAGAGTGTCCGGCGGCATCCACGCTGTTGACGAAGCCTAGCTCACAGTGCACGTGTCCCTGGCCGTAGATGCACGGTACCGCCGATGGTACTTCCATGGGCGTGACGAGAAACGCCCCGCCCAGAGCCTTCGCGAAGAACGCGAACTCCTCATCGCCTGGGCTGCCCCCAGCGCGCACTCGCCGCGCCATGGCCTGCTGCCCTTCTGCTTCCATCAGCGCCAGGACTGGGTCTAGCAAACTCTGCGCTTTGGCCTTCCAGACTTGCTGTTCCTCCGGGTCGCAGATGAATCCGTGGTCGTCTTTCTGCACGGCAGCCCATTCCTCGGGCAAACGGGCTGCCAGCCAAGCGTATAAGAAACAGAGACCATCCGGAGGACACAGCAACGGCGGACCGTCCCAGCGACATGGCCCAGCCACGGCCATGTCAACCAAGTTCGTCGGCGGCAGCCGCATATGCGGCAGCAAAACCCCCGCAGGTGGCAGGTGTGTCTCTGCCGCGTCTGCAGGTAGACAAGTCCCCGAAGCCATGGCGGCAGAAGAGTTGAAGCGAGAACTAGCGACTACAAAGCAAGCTCGGGCAACAAATGCTGCAAACCCTTCCTTCGATCATGAACATGGACCATCTTTCTCTCTCTCTCTCTCTCTCTCTCTCTCTCTCTTTCTCTCTTTCTTTCTTTCTCTCTTTTTCTCTTTCTCTTTCTCCTTCTCTTTCTCTTTCTCTTGCTCTTTTTCTTTCTCTTTCTCTTTATATAGGCAGCCTTGGCGGGGGCGACTATAATGGAGAACTTTGGCAGGGCCCTGCAACGCTGGCGGGGGGCAAGTGGGGTCACCTGGCAGGGGCTATCCTGGCGGGGGCAACCCTGGTAAGTGAGGGCAAAGCTGGGGCAAATCTGGCAGACCACCCAACCTGGCCCCGGCAACTCTGGCCTTCCTTGTAAAGGCTGCCAGGCAATCCTGGCGCCAGACGCGCCAGCAGAACGCGGTGGCAACCGGTAGCAGGGTGGGCGTGCCGGCCAACCGGAAGCCACCACAGCCACCCTCTCACGGTGGGGGCCACCGGCTTCGTGGGGGGCTGCCCTGGTGGGGCACTCTGCAAGCGTAATCTTGAGGCTTCCTTTCGAGAGAAGGACGACGAAGCTTCTAACGGCTGAGGCAGTCCTGGCGCCTTCGCGGGGTTGGGCGACGCAGCTGGCGGGGCCATCCAGGTCGATCCAGGTCGGGGCCAAGGGGGCCACCCTGATAGGGTATGTGGCGGGGGTGGGGGCCAGCCAACCACAGCCACCCCTAACACGGTAGGGGCCACCGCCTTGGTGGCCGCCCTGCACTCTATCAAGGGGCCTTCCTTGACGAAGCATCTAACGGCTGCCAGGCAGTCCTGGCACCTTCATAGAGAAGGACGACGAAGCTGGCGGGGGCCATTCAGGGGGGGGGCCACCCTGATAGGGTATGTGGCGGTGCGGACCGGCCACCACGGTGGGGGCCACCGCCTTGGTGGGGGGCTGCCCTGGTGGGGCACTCTGCAAGGGTAATCTTACGACCTTCATTCAGACGACGAAGCATCTAACGACAGTCCACGTAATGGCAGTCCATGCAGGTTGGGGGCAGGGGGGGCCACCCTGATAGGGGATGTGGCGGGGGGCATCCGGGGGGGGCAGGCCACCCACCCTAACACGGTGGGGGCCACCGCCTTGGTGGCCGCCCTGGTGGGGCACACTGCAAGGGTCATCTTTGGACCTTCCTTCATGGGCACCTTCATAGAGAAGGACGACGAAGCTGGCGGGGCCATCCAGGTCGGGCCAAGGGGGGGTCACCCTGAGGGGATGTGGCGGGGGCATCCTGGTGCGGGCCGGCCACCCACAGCCTAACACGGTGGGGGCCACCGCCTTGGTGGGGGGCCGCCCTGGTGGGGCACCCGGCGAGGGTCATCTTTGGGGCCTTCCTTCCTCGACGAAGCATCTAACAGCTGCCAGGCAGTCCTGGCTTCATAGAGAAGGACGACGAAGCTGGCGGGGCCATCCAGGTCGGGGCACCTGCCTTCATGGGAAGGACGACGAAGCATCTAACGGCTGCCAGGCAGTCCTGACACCTTCATAGAGAAGGACGACGAAGCTGGCGGGGCCATCCAGGTCCGGGCCAGGCGGGGTCACCCTGATAGGGGATGTGGCGGGGGGCATCCTGGTGTGGGCGGGCCACCCACAGCCTAACACGGTGGGGGCCACCGCCTTGGTGGGGGGCCGCCTTGGTGGGGCCTCGACGAAGCATCTAACAGCTGCCAGGCAGTCCTGGCACCTTCATAGAGAAGGATGACGAAGCTGGCGGGGCCATCCAGGTCGCGGCCAGGGGGGGCCACCTGCCTTCCTTCATGGGAAGGACGACGAAGCATCTAACGGCTGCCAGGCAGTCCTGACACCTTCATAGAGAAGGACGACGACGCTGGCGGGGCCATGCAGGTCAGCCCACAGGGGCATCCTGGTGGGGGCCGGCCATTTACAGACATTTTAACACGGTGGGGCCACCGCCTTGGTGGGGGGCCGCCCTGGTGGGGCACTCTGCAAGGGTCCTTCCTTCATAGAGAAGGACGACGAAGCATCTAACGGCTGCCAGGCAGTCCTGGCACCTTAGACAAGGACGACGAAGCTGGCGGGGGCACGGGGCCAGCTTGGTGGGGGCCACCTGGCGTGGGCCACTGTGGCGGGCCAGGCGCTCAGCGCGTAGTCGCTGCCCCATGGCCTGCTGCCCTTCTGCCTGCATCAGCGCCAGGGGGGGGTGGGGCAACCCTGGCGGGGGCACGTAAAGTGAACTTTGGCAGGCCCTTCATAGAGAAGAAGCATCTGGGCCCTTGAAGCCCTGGCCAGCAACTGGGCCCTTGAAGCCCGGCCAGCAACTAAGTTATGGTTCCTTCACAGAAGGACGACGAAGCCTCGCAAGCGCGAGGAGGAGGGATAGTCTGGAGGTGAGCAGGCGACCTGGAATGTGTGTAAAAACCCTGGCGGAGCAACCCTGGCTTGGCCAGGCCGAGGCCCAGGCATGCCCGGGGCGCATAACGGGGCAGCGGACTTTGAGTAGGGGCGAAGAAAGATAAACTTTTGACAAAGTCCTGCATGAGAACCCCCCGTCGTCTTTTTGGCCGGTAAGAGACCAATACAGGCAGACGTAAATGAGGGCAGGGCACTCAGAGTTTGCAGTCCAATCTTATATGCGAAATGGAATGTCCTTCACAAACACGACATGTTTTTTCAAGCAGAGGAAGACGAAAACTGCGTGTAGAAGAAGATAGGGA